ATGGAAAGGGTGGGCAGGGATTGGAAGTGCCCAGGGAGGGTTGGATTCCCATCCCTGGAGGTGTCCAAGGAATTCCTGGATGTGGCACTCACTGGGCTGGGGATTGGGCACAGGCTGGACTCAAAGACCTTGGGTTTTTTTTCCAGCCTAAATGATTATATTTTATAATTCTCATTACACTGATTCCCTTCTGAATCTCTCTTTTAGGACTGAATTCAGTCTGAGTTTCCTGCTTACAGCCTCACTGTCACCTGCTCTTGTTTTTTCCCTACCTCCTCTCACTGCCATCCTTTTCCCCTGTTCTTTTACATAGACTGGCTTTATCTGGAAATTTGCCACTTGACCAGAATTTACTTCTCCCTCCATTCTGAAGAGGTCTTGAAAGCTACAGAAGCCTTTCAAGTAGCTAAACAGCATCTGTGTCAGTACTGACACTAAAACCCTCTTGGAATATCTCAGAAATGTGTAGCCACTGCCCACAGCTTTCCAAAATGGAGCAAGATTGATCAAATGAGCCCTGAGCATCAGTCCCCAACTTTGGCTGCTTCAGTTTCAGACATTCAGAACACCTATTTTATTTATCACAGCACAAATCTATCTGGAATTCTGTCTCTGGCCACTTCTGAATGAGTTTTTCAAATCTTCCTGGAAATGCAATTGTGCAAAGGCTACCCATAAAAATGCTCAGTCTAAACCTTTGCTAAAAGTCTTTCTAATACTGTTTTTATAGAGAGCAGCAAATTTTTAATTCTTGCAATGAGTAGTGGGGAACTTAAATAACTAAACAAAATAAATCAGTTAATCCCAGAAACTGTATACAACTTCCCAAAGGCAAGGGGAAGAAAGGAAGTAAAAAGCAAAATGGGGGCAAGATGACAGAAAGGAGACACTACAGTCATACTCCAAGGAGTGCTTAAGCTCTAATTAAAAGTAATGTTAAAAATGCATTAGTCATTAGCAAACAAGGTGGCAGGCCCAGCTGCCCCAAGCATGTTCACAGAAAATAAAAATCAGCAATGGGAATGTCAACAAAGCCCTTCACTGTGGCCACTGCAGATCACTTGTATTGGTTTTTTACAGGCATTTATCTGAATCCAGTCCCTTCATCCTGATGGGATCCTCAGAGAGATTCAAGACGTGGCTTTGGCACTAATTTTAAACAAGATGTTTCTGCAGACATTTATTCCACAAAGCCCTTTGTATTTAAACAGTGAAATGGAGGGTTCATAACCCTCTGCTCTGGAGGTCATTCACACCAGTGACAATCCTTTGCTGGCTGAGCCCTGAGTTTCAAACGCTATTACTGAAAGAACTAAGTTAAGAGATTAGCAAAAAAGAAAAGTACATTTTTAGCCAAGATTAATGTGATGAACAACAAACTCTGGAAGCAGAAGAAAGCCTGGCCAATACAAGAAGTTGCCAAGTGTATTTTTGTAGATGAATTTAGGCTTTGGTTCTTCCAAGGTATTTTTTTGTTCTATGAGTTTTCATGGTCCCATGGAGTAAAACCTTCTACCAAAGTTTTCATACTTGTCTTTGCAGGGATAAAGATCTTACAGCAACTCTTCTATTAAAAAAAAATAAAAATAAAAAATTCTTAATATCCATACTCCTCTTGATGGGAAGGCTTTAATTTGTACCACATGCCATTCAGGTGTAACAAATGCCTACACAACCAAACATCCTTCTAGAGAAAATCTTCCTAAGTGTTGTACTTAACCATTGTGACCAGCAGCAGACACTTTATCTCCTCCAGGAAAAAGAACTTTTCTATTTTTCCCACTTATCACCATCCTACTGATCTTCACAGTTCCTTTGCCTTCTTTGCTCTATGCTTACTAATTTGTTTTTAATCAATATTAACCAAACCAGAGGGGAAAATTGTAGTTTTGCTTTGCAGTGTGAAGAAAATGATAGATTTAATATCTCTTTATGGTAAAAAAAAAAAGCGTTTGCTCTTTTAAAGTGCTGGGTTTAAAAGCAAAATTTTAGTGCAGTCTTTTAATAAATCTGCCTGCATATTTGCCAGGATGAGGGTATAATCTGGGTAGGGTATTCACCTAATGCGAATTAAGCCTTTATTTAAAATTTAGGCTAGATGAATAAATGCTGAAATGTGCAAAATTGTTGAAATCCCAGCTGTTTGTGAAGCGACAAGTTGTCTGAGCAGAGGCAGCTCAGCTGGGCAGGCAGGTCAGCAGAAGTTCGAGCTTTACAAGTTATTTCTGGTGCTGTGCCAGGAGGAAAATGGACCTGGCTCCTGCAAAACTAATGAGTTCAAGCACGGCTTTTGTTCACATCCCCGAGTCCTCCAGAAACCTTAATTACAGAGGGACAGAGCTTCAGGATCAATTATCCAGATTTCAGTTCACAGAGACAAAAGGCTCCTTTTGAGATCCCCGTGGTGTTTGTTCTGCAGAAGCCAAGGGCAGCCGGTGCTGGGGAGTGCCTGCAGTGCTGCAGGCAGGGCTGGGCTCCGGGGACACTTCCCAGGGATTCCCTCACACAGGCACACTCAGCTTCTGCCAGTGCAGCCCAAGTGAGGAGCCCAACCCAATGCCAGACCCTAAATCTGTCTGCAAATGTCCCCTCCCAGCCCAGGCCACACAGAGCCCCGAGCTGCTGCAGAATTCCAAACAGAACCAGCCAAGATCTTTTCTTAGGCCCTGGAAGTGCATCCCTGCCTTTCCCCCCTGTGTTTTCATTGCTGCCCTACTTATCCTGGAGTTTTTGCTGCAGGAATCCTTCACGTCCAGCTTTACAGAGCTATCAGCAGCAGCCAGGGACCGGAATGCTCAGTGTTTATTGAGCTGCCCTTCCCAGGAAAGGCCAGGCAAGCGTGGTCTTGGATGGGTAAAACCAGACAAGTAACACTAATTTAATCAGACCCTAATGGGAATCATGTTGTGGCATCATTAAAAAAGCTGGAAACTGGGTGTAAAATGCAATCAAATCATACATAATTCGAATAATTTAACTCTGACTTTCCAGAAGTTGTTTTGCAAGGCACGCAGCTGTGGCCACGTATTTCAAAAAGTCATTGAGACAGTGTTTCCTTTCTGGGGTTACTTTTGCAGCCACCTTTGCGAAGAATGTTTTGGTGCTTTATCAAAGCAGACAGGGAGTGTTTTTGTGGCAGCAGCTCACAAGAAGCCCTGATGCTTTTCTGCATCCGTGCACATCTCTCCCTGGCATGGCTGGGTGTGAGGAGAGCAGGGCACTCACTCCAGGCAACAAATCCTAATCCTTGCAGGGCAGCTCTGATCAAATCAAACACTTGGGTATTTGCTCCTTCCCCCTTTGCCTTCCCAAATCAAGTCTCAGTTACAGTTTAGAAGATCTGGGTAAGCTTGCCATTTTTCAGCTGCTTGGCCAAACACAACTGTGGATGAGAGGAAATGCTGTGGGAAAGCATCTTTGGGCTTGGAAGACAACTGGCAGTGCTGTGGGAAAGCTCACTCACTTGAAATTCCCAGACATGAGTTCAGATACACTTTGAAACATTGAGGGGGCAGCAGAGAAAGAGGTGGGACAGACTCAAACTGAACAGATCAGAATCTCTGTCAGGATCAAGGAGAACAACCTGGAAATTCAGTAAAAGCCTGGGGAAAGTGAACTGCTGTGTGAACTCATGTTCAGCATTAGAGTCAGGCAAATATTCAATTCAAATTGAGCACACTTTAGCTAAAGCATCGGGAAAAGTGGGACAATAGGTTTGGTTTAGAAAGAATCAAGATCAAAGTTTCACTGACACAGAGAGCAAAACACCCAACACTTTTTCCTCAAATCACTTCTTCCTTAAAACAGCTGACCTACAGCCAAGAATATTGAGGGCAATGTAGATGAGTGTATTAGAACGATGCTACCCAAGGTCACAAGCATGGGAAGAACCTGAATATCTGCCTGCAGAGTCTGAGCCTGGAGTGCCAGGACACGGGAGAACAGCTTCAGACTGACAGGGAGGAGGTCTGGATGGGATATGAAGAAAAAATCCTTCCCTGTGAGGGCAGTGAGGCCCTGGCACAGGTTACCCAGAGAAGCTGTGCCTGCCCCATCCCTGGGAATCTTCCAGACCTGTTGGATGGGGCTGGGAGCAGCCTGGGACAGTGAAGGTGTCCCCTCTGGAGCCCTCCTGGCTCCCAGCAATCTGCCTTTGGGAGCAGCTGGTGCTGCTCAGTGCAGAGTTTATGCCCTGGTGCTTGTTGGGAGACAAGAACTGTGAGATGATCTCCTGCTAAAGCTGGATTAAGAGATGCTTTGGGGTCTGGTGGGACATGTGGAGCAAGAGTCTGGATTCCCTAGACATGGCAGTCTTAGCACCTTTATTTTTCCCTCCCTGTGCCTTTCTAAAAATTGCTGGCTCAAATACCAGGATTATATATCTTGAATTTTGGGGGCTTCTAAAGCCACTTCAATTTATTTCTCATATTGGAAACAGTGTTTTTTAATGAAAAGAGCCCAAGTCGAGATGCTGAAAGGTTCCAAACACAGAGCATAGCAACAAAATACTTCCAGGAAGGGGCTGACAATCACAATTGCATAAAATGGGAATTTAACTGTTTTGTAGCAGCTTCATAAGTGATCAGCAAAATGAGAGGAAAATCAGTTTTCCTAAGGAGCTGGCACAGAATATTTAGCTGTTCAAAGGGTTTATTGTAGAAAACGTATTTACCAGAGAGAAAATGAAATCTGGAAGAGAACCAGCTCTGGGCTGAATGAATGTGAAAAGGCTCTTTGACTGCCTATGCAAGTTTAGCCTATAAATCAAAATTATTAGGGCTTAATTTTAAATTTTTATTTCTTAAGTGGGAGGAGGACCTGCTGCTAGAAGAAGCCCACACGAATTTAAGGGGCTGGTTTGCTGAAATCAAATTCCAACAAATTCAGCAATTACAGCCCGAGCGAACTGAGGCAGCACACAGACAATGGGAGCAGGAAGCATCCTGCCCTGGCAGGCACACACGGACACCCAGACTGCTCTGAGAGCCACGGAGCTTTACCTTTCTGGAGCTTGGATGCGTTGTCCTGGATCCAGCTGAAGAGATTGGCAAAGTCACAGTCACAGACCCAGGGGTTGCCCTCCAGGCGGATGGTCCGCAGGGAGGGCAGCGCTTCCAGGGCTGCCACGTTCAGGCTCTGTAAGTTATTGTCATTCAATTCGAGCACTTGGAGCTGGTCCAGGTTCTCAAAAGCAGCCTCGTCCACATCCACCAGGTTATTGTTCCCAAGGCTCAGTTTTATCAGTTTCTCCGCTGATTTGAATATCCCAGCATCGAGCTGTGTTAAATTATTGTAGCTTAAGTCTAAATACACCAGTTTGGTAGAACTGCTAAAAGTGCCCTCTTCTAAAGAGGTGAGGGAGTTATTCCTGAAGTCCAAATAGACTAGATCTCCATAAAATATAAAGAAGTCGGCTGGTATTGCCTGGATGTTGTTATCAGCTATGAGAAGTTTCCGTACATCCAAAGGGAAGGGATTAGGAACGCTCGGGAGTCCTTGATCCCGGCAGTCTATGGTGTGGTAGTCCATACAGCTACAGACAGCAGGGCAAAGATGACCCCCAGGCAGGAAAAGCAGGCAGGCAAAGGCAGCAAAAGGCAGGAGGCAGGAAGGAAAGCATGGCAACATCGTCAAGGATCTGAAGGCTGTGATGAGCACCCACTTCTAGGAGAAAGACATTTTGCTCAGCTGAGCAGGAGTGCCTGGTACTTGTGTGTGTGTCTGATTGTATCCAGGAGATCACATATCATCACAGATCCGATAGCAGCAGTCTGGAGGGGGAGGGAGGAGGGAGGGAGGGAGGCAAATGTGAGGATTTACTCTGTCAGAATATTATGATGCTGTGCAGGGTGAGGAAAGCGATGATTGGGTACACGGAGGATCTTTCAAAGGACTCCCTTGCTTTTGTGAGCTAAAAAAAGCCCAGAGCCTGTTTGAATATTTGCTGTATGTTCCAGCAAAGGGGAAATCACACCTGATCCTGTGACTCTGACAGCAACAGCTTCTGCTTAAAAAGCTGTTCAGGTAAAAATCAGGATGAGATCACTCACTGTGTTTGTTAGCAGGAGCCTCCATCAAGGTGACCAACAGCTGTGGGAATGTGAGAGAGGGGCAGGCAGTGTCCTGGATGCCTGCTAAGGACAGTTTTCCCTTTGATTTGTGAAACAGGGAGCAGAAGGGGGGAGCCCAAAGACAAAGAACTCTGCTTTGTGCTGTTTCTGGATTCCTCAGCTGTTCACATTATCTAAATATGACTCAGTATCTTTTAACCAAGAAGAACAACCTACAGCAGCAACAGGGAATATGGTCTCCAAAGTGAGGGGCTTTTCCTTCCTGTTTTAATGACCCAAAAACTGCTTTCTACTACAGCACCACTAATGTCTGCTGGGCCACATAAAAGTGCAAATCTTTAGCCGGTTAAAATTGAACTGGTTTTGCTGGGTTGAAATATTTGACAGTTGATCTGCCTGTCTCCTGTGGGGCAGCAGAAATGATTTTTCATCAAAGCATCTGTGTTTTCCTGACATCCCCGAACCCACACCCACAAAGACAAGTCCTCAGCCAGCTCCACACTTAACTTTTCATTCCATCCCTCCTCCCTCTTCATGCAGGGTGTGTGAGCAGAGAACTGGAGAGCTGGGGTCACACCTCTGTGCTCTGATGGAAGATTTTTCTAGAGACAGAAGGAATTTGGGTGCATGTATCCTGATGAGAAGAGCACAAAGTCCAACACCTTTGGCAAGCTCATTCTTAGGTCAAAGAGAGGCCAGAAATTTCTATTTAAGGTCATATTTTATAACTGGATTCAGAGTATCTTTGATCCAGAATAAGGGACAAGCATTTCCTTCTCAGCCAGCCTTTCCTCCAGGACAGCTGTGCCTGAACTCAGACAATGCAAGCAGTATCTCAGCTCTCCTTTGGTGCATGCCTAGGAATGGGAGGGCTGGGAGGGATCAGAGGGAGCCACACTGCTCTCAGTAGCACCACTGACCGAAAAAGATGAAATGGGCACAGACTGAAAACCATCTGAACACAAGGAAACACTTCTCCTGCTGTGAGGGTGGCCAGGCTTCCCAGAAAGGTTGAATATCACCACAAAACCCACTGGGGACAGCACGGGGTGAGTTTGCTCTGACTCTGCTTGAGCAGGGGGCTGGACACGTTGATTTCCAGAGGTTCCTTCCAACCTCAGCACTTCCCTGCACCACTCTTGGGAAATGAACATGTCAAGGTTTATTCCTTTGAGCACCTCTCTCACGTTTTACAACACACCTTGTTTCTAATTCATAGGTCTTTTAGCTAAAGCACCTTGAGACAGTCTCTCGATCCCTCCCATAAAGACACATCCTGCTCTAGGTGTCTTTAATGTCTTAAATTACTTTGAAAACGCCACCCAGAAAGAAATGGGCACAGCTGCCTCTTTAAACCACTAGGGCAAAGCCCAAATAAATTCCTGAGGTGATTATTTAAAATATTTACCTTTAAATTACAGAGGAAGTGACAGTTTGACAGGCTACCTCCAATTAGAAAAACCCAAACATGCAGAACAGCTCCTGGGGTTCATTGAATTGATTCATTGAATTGGCATCAACAAGTAACTGCAAGTGGTGTTTCTCATGCAGAACTGATGCTTTTTAAATTCTTAGGGCTGTGTCTTGCAAACAATTGCTCCTGCTGTAATCTACTCTAATATAACTAAGGCTTTAGCTCAGAGATGTTTCTCACACAGGAAAGCAGAACTGATGTGATGTCTTTGGCAGTGTAATTTTATATGGACACATTCAGCTCTCTGTTAAGAGCACGTATTTATTCAGGGTTTAAGGGTCTCTGTGGCTCCTCCTCTGCAGACCCCCGTTTTTCCTATCAAGTGCACAGAATCAGGATGTGACATTTCCATCTCCAAGATGCCTCAGCCTTCACAGATGGGAGACTACAGACAATAAAGCATAATTTGTGAAAGTTCCAAGAACATGCTAGTGGCAGGGGTGGAAAAGGACTCAGCTTCCCTGAGAATCCAAGCAGCCCTTGCTAAAGCTGCCACTCCTTTCTGTACAGAGCAGATCTTCCTTTTGTTCAGCTGCATCCCTGAGCTGTGACCCAGCCCCACCCTGAGGGCCCCCTGCCCTCCCATTGCAGCTGGCAGTGTCTGCACTGAGCCTCCGGGCTCCTCTGCCTGGCATCCCGGTCAGGAGCTTGGCAGGAGATGAGGGATTGCCACCAGGCTCTGGATATTTTGGGATAGGTATCCCACAGGTTTGTGGAGCTCCAGCCCTGCTCCCACAGCAGCCAGGGAAACAAGAATTTCTCTGCCAATGTGTGACATCTCTGATCTTCTGCTGTACAAGCCCAGCTGCAGTGCCTGCCATGGGCTGATGCCTTTCTAAGCTGTCTTTGATTTCAGACTTTCTTCCTGACCCATCTTTCTCTGTGCAACATTTCCTGTTTAATTTTGTCTCTTTTAGCTTCTGCTTATTTCTGTTTCTCAGCTGTTTCCCTCACAGCACAGGAATTCTTTAGAATCTTTTTGAATCTTCATTCACTTGCCAAACATTTTGTGCAGTTTTGACTAGCAGGAAGACAGCAAGGCTTTCTATTTAAAAAAGTATTAAAGCTTTACTTTTTGAAATGGTTGATTTGCAGCAGTCAGTGGCAGCAAGCTGGGGTTTGGCTGTGATGTGCTGAGTGCACAGCACCCTCTTGTGCCCTCGGACTCTGGGCAGACAAAACTGCTCTGCTCCCTTCTGCTGAGCTATTAACAACAGGTTTGACCATATTCCTACAGTTTGCCTGTGTCTCAGGTTCCCTTCCTGTGGAGGGAGCAGAAAACACAGAAGAAAGTCTCCCTGCACCCTCAGAACAAGCTCCTTGGAAAACCATGGCTTAGAGATAAGAAATGGCTGTGAAATGATGAATACAAAAGGAATTTACCTTCCCCCCCTTGGAAAACCCTCTTATCTATCTCTAATATTAGTGGTTCATTTTCTTTTAGTATCCATAGGCCAGCTTTGAATGTGAAATCCCTCAGGGATTGGTCAGAAAGTAGAATTCCCTTGGTAATTGGTGCAAACTGTAAAACCCTCAAAAGATACAAAAACCCCTGTAAAGCAATAACCATGGGTATATGCAGACAGGATGCCTTCATAGAATAAACTCTGGATTTGTGCCTTTCTGCATGTGCTGGTCTCTGTACCCCGCTGGTCTGAGAGCTCCCCACGAGCCAAATTCCATCTGGGCAAGGCTCGGGAATGTGCTCTGTCACTGAGGGCTGCAGGAGCAGTCTCAGGGATCCCAAAGGGACCCCAAAAACCCCACCAGTGATGCCTTCCTCCTCTTCCTATGAAAGAAATCCCAATCACTCTGTATAAGAAAATGAAAGACATAAATCAGGTTCTTACGTGCTTCAAGTGACACTGTGGTAAAATCAAATTGCTCCAGTGAGGAGTCTCAGAAATAAAGGGTTTTTATCATCTGTGCTTCTTCAGTGCTCCCAAGCAAAGGCTCACAGCTTTTCCAGCTTTTTTCATACTTCCAGTATTGCATTGTAGTTCATACACGTTTGAAAAACACAAACCTCTCAATTGGAAATTGATGCCCAACAAAAACCCCAAATATTCTTCTTCCACACAGGTGGGATCCCACATTGACCAGGTTTGGACTGTCAGCTGATTTACCTGTGATTCTGCCTTCCAGGCTCCCCTAAAGGGGCAGAATGGGTTTGGAAAACGTGCTTGTAAATCAGGGTAACAATTCCAGTTCCAGTTCTAAATGTAAAGGAATTTGTTTCGAACCCCTCTGTGGAGAACAAAGAAGGAAAACCAATTTCTCTCCACACCTCCCAGTAGCAGGAGTTGGATAAGCACAACTGTAGGCAGGTTTTGGACTAAAAACAATGATATGGATTTCATTTCTTTAATTTTTTTATTCAGGGTATTACCAGGAGAAGGAAATAAAGGCAGGGACAAGGCACACTGGTCCTGGATCCTTGGAGTGCTCACAGCACTGTATCATGTCAAGCAGTAAGACACAAAAAGAAAAAACATTTGCTCCTGACAGAGTTTTCATCTTTCCATTGGAAACTTTCCTTCAAAGTGCTCAAAACTTCCCCAAATAATTCGAGTAAAGGAGCTACAAAGAAAGAGCAATCACCATGCAGACACACGTGAAGGATTCAGGTCTCAGCCAGAAAATCCTTCCTTACAGGAGACTCAGACTGAAAACTGCCCATCCTCATGCACATTTCTGAGCAGCTAATTGAGCATATTTTTCCATGAAGGAAGTTATTATTCCAGGCTTATGCTTCATTGAGCTAAGGCACATGTCATGGCCAGGCTGCAGAGCCAGGTGCACAGAATGATGGCAAAGGCTTCTCCTGCTCATTCTCAGACATGACAAAGTGTCCTGGGCACCACTGCCTGAGCCTGAGTGACCAACAGTGTGTTCATCAATTCAGCAAGCACTGAGACTCTGAACAGAAATCCCATTTTTATTCAGGTCTTTACCATTTTGGCTTTAGTGTTGTTTTTTTTTATCTCTTGAGAAAATTTTTCCCTGCTTTGACTGGGCAGTTTAATGAATGCAGCCAAGGGGCACCTCTGGGCAGTTTTCCCTCTGATCTTACATCTAAAAAGGACAGAAAAAGCAAAAGTCTTAAAATTTATGAGCTGATAGAAGCTGTGAGCTGAAGCTCTGTGTTACACCTGCCCAGTCAGTCCTTCTCTGCTGCTGCTGCTGCTGCTCTGCCAC